ACCTGACCAGTAATACTGAATTTTACCACTAGATATTATACGAGACTTAGCCGCTCCAGAATGGAACATAATGAGAGCACATCCCTGCAAATGTTTCACAATAAAAGCCTGGCTGAGACATAAAGGGTGCCGGAATGAGCGAATGAGAACCGTAGCAGGGCAGACCAATAGAGGCCAGATAATTTACATCCGGCTCGATGGGACACGGCTGGTTGAGGCACGGACGGGAGAGGCATGAAACTGAGGAAGAGGAGCAAGTTTGTAGCGATTTAATTTGTAGTTAGCTGCTAGCTTTATACGTCTTCCGTTGTATGGATAAGTCCGCCAGTATTTTTTTTTGTGAAGCTGGAATTTTCGTGTTCCAACTAGACTGTGTGATGTTACACTGTTTAAATAAATCAACTTAATGTTCAGTCTGCTTGCTGGTTTTTCCGGCACATTCAGAATCATTACCGCTGTTTCTGTTAGCATTTAACAGGCAGCTGTTAAAATATATATATCTTAATAATTAAATGAATATTATAAACGTGAGACAACTAGTCGACTACGAAAATCTTTAGTCAGGAGCAGCCTGGGACAATAAAGATTATGTATATTTGTAAGTGACATATGGCATTTATTGCCGTGTGCATGTGTGAAAGAGCAACAGACTGAATGTGTGTGTGTGTTTAGATGCACATGCAGGTCTATTGTATGTCCTCAGTAATTCTGATTTCTAAGAACAGAGGAAGGATGAGGGGATTAAAACAAGAAGCATAGTGAGTTTTGCCTCAGCAGAACTGACAGCATACTGTAAATGACACAGCACAGAAAAAAGAAATGATGGAGGAAGAAGAGAGACAGAAGGATGATGTTTGCCTCCATGACGACTATTTGTTCTCTTTGATATCGAAGACGACTGCTTGAGTCTCCATGTGAGCATCAGTGTCCTGCTATGTACTCCACTTCAAAGGCCTCTCTCCCTGCTGCACATCAACAGGCCTAAATTACACTATTAGTCATGGAACAAATCGGACTGCAAGCTCGCAAACACTTATTTAGCCATCCTTAGACAGAAAGTAAAATCAGGAGGTGCACAATCTATATGGGAGTGCAGGAGTAAACAGAATAATTGTGAATTTACAAGCCAATTGGAAACTGAATAGAAGCTTTTATACTCCCCTGTTAAAGCTCAGAGCAGTCTGATCTACCTTTTGAACCAGTACCAGCTCACATTAAAACTGCATTAAAATCTACACCTCATACAACTACAGTTCTACAACTGGGCAGTGGGAGATGCTCAGTATAATCTGCACTCACAATGTCCTAAACAAAGAAATTTGGCACATAACAGATCAGCAAAAAGATTAACAAGTACACCAAATCTGGACATCTACACTAATACTGCTGAGCTAGAATTGATGTCTTGATTGATTTAGATTAAGATAAGAAGCACTTGATTTTGCAGTTTATCTTAGCTAAAGAAAATGTTTTTCAAGAAAAGGAAAATAAGAGGTGAAGGTTACAGGAGCAGTTATGTATTGTGGATGGATCATGCTGGATAGTAACATTAACACACTGGGTCTCACTCACACTCACACTGTAATGCTTTTTTAGATGGATAATTGCTTTCTTGAGGCTGTGGTCAAGTATCTACTCTGTCTTCTCATAGGTACGTTCATGAACAATGAATTTGCAATCTCAAAATACACTCACTCCTACGTTAAAGTCCAGGTGAAATGATAAAATGTAATTTTAACCCTTTTAGATTGCATCCTCAGTCATATTGTACCCCAGTTTACAAAAAACTCTTTCTTTACATGTCAAAATCAAATCACCTTTTCTTTTTGTAAAACAAAATCTGGCGTGTGCTTACATAAGCACGAATAACCAATTTCAACCAATAATGTTATGATATTCACCAATCAATCAATCAACTTTTAGCGACACAAAGCAAAGATTCATTAGCATTGGGAGCAGAGTCTTTCTGGAGGGCCGGACCTCACTGATGACTTGTTTGGTTTTGCCTCTGACTCAACTCTGCTAACTGCTAATGTAGCTGCCGTTAGTGTTAGCAACTGAATGGGGCTTAGCAGCCAGTTTGATGACAGCAGTAACGAGGTGATTTATGGAGTTTCAAGATGGACTAAAAGTAGCTAACTGTTGCCAACATTAGGTCCGCTACAGCTGCTTGACTGGGGGACGTAACACACAGCGCTACTTCGACAAGTCCCTTTGTAGCTGCCTGTTTTTACAGGAAATATGTAAATATGTGGAAGCAAATAGCTCTCTGATTTCAATTTTATGTGGCATCTTAATGAGACTTCCTATGTGTTTGGAACATCTAACCAAAGTCAAGTAACAAGGTGTCAGCATTTCAGATCTCCGCCCTACAGACCCTTAGAAGTTATAGTTAGAGGTCTTCCCCCTTAAATAACATCCTGTTATAATGTGACTGAACTTCCATACTTCAGATACGGGATGGCACCTGCATTTTTCAACAGGATAGACATATCTGATAACCGTTCACTATTAACAGCAGAACATTCAATGTAATTGTTTCATTAGTTTTCTTACAGTGTGTGCTTGTGGCAACTAAAGCATGTGGAACATTAGCTGAGGTTCAGGAAAGATGGTCAAATATTTAAAAACACTGACTCTCTTTTGTACTGATACTTTTCAAGGGCAAATTATTTCAAAATTAAGGGCCCGTAATTCACATACATGTTTACATATACCAGTCTTCCTCAGCACAACACTATATAAAGACTCGAATGGTTTACGCTACATGGCAGTAGAAATTTAAAGCCAGGAATGGGGGTGAAATCTTTTAATTCCATCAAGATGAAAGTAGATTAATATAGACCCAAATACAAGACTTTTTTTGTATTATGACTTTTTATTTTTTATCATTAAATTATGTGAATTAGGCAGTGTATCTTTAAATATGTGCAGATTTGCACATCAGTAGAAACTATTTTTAGGCCCAACAAATAAAGAACTTTTTGTCTTCCTTTATTGTGACCAATAATTAAATAACTCATAATAGTCAGAGGCTTTAGTCAAAATATAGTTTTTTTTAATGTTGGAAAACATGCTGAAAAACATGACTTTATACTTTTTTTCCACATAAAGTGGCTCATAAAATGATAATGAAAAACGATATTAAAAAAAGCTCTGACCATTACTTCAAGGAATCAGTGTGTAAAATTTGCTAGCAGTACTGAGTATGAATCCAGAGATTTTAGTTTTTTGGTGTAAGAAAGTGGCACTTTGTAAAATAGGTACATTTTAAGATGAGGACACAGGACTCAAACTCTGAGATTCCAGTATGCTAAATCCAAGCATTTTTAAGGTCTTGATATTTTTTTTCAAGCACTTTCATGTACTTTCCAGACCCATATTCTACATAAATAAAAGATTTTAGCAGCAGAAAAATATCTAATATTGACACATGGCTGTACGTGTTTGGCATATCTTATTTGTCAAGTATTCACATTTTATTAATAAAAATCCAATACTTTAATTTGTTGTTTCTTGAGTGTCCAAACTTCTTCTCAGTCCTGTTTATGAATTTCTCCATCCTGTGTGTGTGTGTGTGTGTGTGTGTGTTGTGTTTGTTTGTGTGTGTGTGT